TCAATTTGCGAACATCCCTACCTACAAACATTTTGACTTACAAATGGCTCCATTCGCAAAAATCTGCATCGACTTGTGAACGGAGCCTCGACCTACGAACGAAAAAAAGGCAGAAGAAAAGGGTGGAAAATTCAAATTTCCCCTGCCTTTTTTTCATTCCATTCAAACCATTGGTGGTGAAGAGGCTGCTTTGGAGCACCTTCAGAGGTCTCCAGAGGCCTCCTGGGGGTCTGATGACAGCAGCGGGGGACCCCAAGGAGGTCTCCGATTGTGCCTTCGGAGGTCTCCGGAGACGAACTTGGGGTCCAATTGCAGTGGCAGGGGAACAATTTTAAGTTTCCCGCCCTTTCCCAACATCGGAGACCTCTTGGGCTCCTCCTCCACCACAATCAGCACCTTCAGGTACGCCAGGAAAGCCTGAAGGCGCCTCTTGGGGGTCCAATCACGGCAGTGGAAAATGGCGAGAAATTTAAAATTGCTCACTGCAGCCATGATCGGAACCCCAAGGCTTCCCTGCTGCCATTGGATGGCTTTTGCAGGGTGGGTTTGGGCTGGGGGGGGTTGTTTCTGTGCTGTGTTGTTCTGTTTTTTGGTGATTTCTTTTGGCAATCCCAGTGTGGGACTTGCACCAATGTGTATTTTTGGATTTGTGTGTTGTTGGTTTTTGTTTGTTTGTTTTTTGTTTTTTGCAGTTGCAGTTGCAGTGTAGGACTTGCAGTGTTTCATTTTTAATTTTGGGGGGTATTTTTTTCTTCCCTCAGAACACATTAATCGGTTGTCAATGCATTCCTATGGGAAATGGTGCCTCGACTTACGAACTTTTTGACTTGTGAACACCATTCCAACACGGATTAAGTTCGTAAGTTGAGATACCACTGTACAGAGGTTTTTACAGTAAGCATCTTAAATTTGAGGGTGAAAAACAAAAATATGCAACACCCAAGGGTGGGAAAATATTTTATGTCAGAGTTCCTGTCCCACAGAAAAAGACTATACAAGAAAAAGGCTGGTGGTCTGAGAGGGGCTTTTTAAATAGATTGTTGTATTTTGTTGTTTTTCAGTTTTTTAGTATTGATTTTATTTACTGTTTCAGTATTGATTTTATTTACCATTTTATTTTAATATAGTACTCATTTTATTATTTTAAAATATTTGCATACTTACTGGTTTTAGCTTCTGAATATTATCATTTTAATGATGTGAGCCACCTTGGGTCTTTTTAAGGAGAAATATGGGGTAAAATATTATAAATAAATAAAGTCAGGAAGTCAGGAAGACAAGGGGATAAAAGACAACTAGCTGAAAGCTGACTTATTGGGTATTCCTGTTTAATCAGGAACTCTGGCTTCCATCTTTCCTATAGTGGCAACTTACACACTAACGTACACTAAGTATGGAAAAAGTATGACAAGTATTTTCATTTAGATGTACAATTAGAAAAGATGTTATAACTTGAACAGAAATTATGGTATATCTCTTTTAAGTTGGAAGTCAATGACTAGAAGACCTGTGCACCCACTCTGTCTGCAGTCTAGTGGTAATTATTATCTCTGACTCTCTCCTTAGGGTTTTTCATATCTAAATCAGATTTGTACTGTGCAGCCTTTCAGTTCTCACAATATAGATTGTCCTAGGGTAGCTTTCAAATGCAATAATAAGAATCCTGGAACTGTAATGCTGGAAGGGATCCTATGGATCATCAGGTCCAGCCCTTGTCAAGGAGGCACAGTGGGGAATCAAACTCCCAATCTCTGGTTCCATAGCCAGATACCGAAACCATTGAGCTACACAGAAGACTGTCCTCTATAAAAGAGGACATGTGGCTGCCCTAAACCTGGAAGTTGCTAACATACCTCTGACCTCTGCAACAATATGGACAATATGTATGGCTTTTCTTAAACAGTGATGGTTATAAGGATTATTGAAATAATAGTATGCATGTAAAGGACTCTGAAAGCCTAGAGCTAGATCATTAAATATTATCCCTGTTGAATTTTGAATACTAGGGCCAAGCTCCACAACATGTGATGTAAATAAATATTAAATTGAATTAACTGGTAGATTAATCAAGTAAAGTTTTAACTGATTTATTGATAGAGGTTAATTCTACTTGGCAAGGATAGATTTTAATTAGTGTCACTGAAAATTAAGTACACCCATACATAATTTTAAAAGCATTTTAGTTCTTGTGTTAGAGAATATAACATGGATTGAAAATGAAAGTTGCGAAGATGAGCAATATTTTCCCATATACACTTAAAAGCTTTACTAACACTGGATTTAAGTCTTGCATGATAAGTTGAACAAAAAGTATGAGGAGTGATCATGATGGCTATGAGGGGAGATGATTTACTGAACCCCTACTCATAGTGCGACTTCCTATTGCTGAGCAATAGAATTTCAGCCAATCCATGATCTTAGGCAATTCATATACTCAGCCATCCTAGTTGTGAGGTTCTTATGATAATTACTAAAACAGTGTATTTATCCATTTCGAAATACATAATAGGTTCGCAACCAAAAGTACAATGTGCACTTTTGTAAGGTGCTACATAAAGGATGCTGCCCTTGTTGATTATTATGTGAGGTTAATTCAAATAATAAAAATTATAGCAAGATAATTAATTATATATGTTTTTCTAAAAAACTAGAATAATTAAACATCTAAAATTCTATGATCTAGTGACACATTAATAGGATGGCATGCTAAAACAGTTAATGCCATTTTTTGTGTACCCTTTTCTGTCATTACAGCTAACTATTTGTTCCTAGTAGCCAAAAGTTCCTGGCAGGTGATGAGGAAAAATAGTGTTGGATAGCCACTACGATAGTGTCTGAACTCATTTGGTTTTTGTTATAGGATCATCAATCTGTATGTTTATGGGGAATACATTAGAACTAGTAAGCATAGCGAACTGTGTAAACCATGTGTAAATTCTTGCCAGGCTTAATATTTTCATATGCAAAACAGGTGCTCATTGGTACTGAGGGGTTAGTTCAATAGGATCAGACACTGGTTTTCAGCAGCATGGAATAAGACTAGTGTGCAATGGGCTGTACACACCAGAAACTGACAGAAAGAATTTGGAAACAATGCTATTGAAACCAATCCATGATGCCTTGGTTTCAGTGCTAATGATGGAATGATGTCACTTGCTTTAATGGCAATGAATAAACACTGTGAATTCCAAACAAATCTGCAACCATTGCTTCCCCAACCTACAAATAAATAAATAAAAATAAATACAAATGATGCTAAAATAGTAAAGAAAGATTATATAACATTACAGTGGTGCCTCGACTTACAAACATCCCTAGTTGCGAAACTTTCGAGATATGAAAAGCTCAGGCCACAAAATATTGCTTCGACTTGCGGCCAGAGCTTCAAGTTACGAAAAAAATGCGGGAGAGGCAGATAAAGCTCAAAATTTGAACTTACAGTTGACCGTTGGCCAGCAAAGAGGCTGTTTGTCTGCTACCTTGCTCACCCCAGTGCTTAGAGAGTGGATAGGGAGAGAGACTTCAGACTGCCTGGTACTGTCTGGTACTGCCTGGTACTGTACTGTACGGACTGTTTTTTTTTTTTTGGTTTTTTTCTTAAAAATTTTTATTTTTGGATTTTTTACTTTTTTAAAAAAAATGGAGAGCCTGTTCTGGGTGAGTACATACTGTACACCGCATTTACTGTACTTTTGTGTACGGTACTGTACTGTACAGGGTTTTTTTGCAGCTTGGTGGGGGGGCTATGGCTAGGTGGGGGTTATGTTTCTGTGCTCTGATGGGTCTTGCAGTGTGGATTTAAAATGTGAAAAGTAGACTATAATATTAAATTAAAATTAAATGTGAAAATTAGACTGTACAGTAAATATAAAATGTAAAATTTATTTATTTTTGCATTCTGTGGTTTCTAGGGTTTGTGTACTGTAATCTCTCTGTTGTTTTAAAATATGTGGGTTTAAAATGTGGCTTCAAAGTCTTTTTTCTTTAGGGATCTGTTTGCTGTAATAATGGTTGCTGGTTGTTGATGCAGGCAGGCTGTAAAATGAAGTTTAGACTCCACTGTTTTTTTCCTTAAAATCAGGAAGTATTCTGCGAGGAGCTGTGCTGGCTGTTGATGCAGGCAGACTGTAAAATGCAGTTTAGACTCTCTTTTTGTGATGAGGAGTTCTGTGCTGGAATAATGCCTGCTAGATTCTGTGGCTTTTAGGGTTTGTGTAATGCGACCTGTCTTTTGTTTTAAAATGTGTGTTTAAAATGTGGCTCCAAGATCTGTCTCTTTTAAAATCAGAAAATATTTTGTGAGGGGCAGTGGTGTTTGTTGATGCAGCCAGGCTTTAAAATGGAATTTACTGTAGACTCAAAGGTGCTTGGTTTTGGTTAAAATGTGTTCTGTTTAGAAGGTGTTCCCTCCCCCACTCCTTTCCTGCCCCTTTTTTTAAAACCTAAATTCATCTTAGGTTAAAAAGAAGAAAAATTCTCCCCCTAGTGGTAGAGTAAGGATTAGCCAGCTTTGCATTAGTTCCTATGGGAACTAATACTTCCACTTAAGAACGGCACCTCTATGTAAGAACCAAAAACAGCCGGAACAGATTAAATGGTTTTCAGTGCATTCCTATGGGAAATGGTGATTCGACTTACGAAAATTTCGAGTTGCGGCCACTGTTCTAATACAGATTAATTTCGTAAATCGAGACACCACTGTACTTGAATGCTCTTTGGAGATGGTATTTTTGCCATTTTGGGGCCTTTTTTGTGGGTTTATATTTTTTAACAACCCCTGTGGGCAAATCAGACAATGCCTTTAGGTCTGGGGCCCAAATTGTAACCACCTAGAACCCTGCCCTGCCCATTCCTGCCTGCCTGTCTCTGCCACTACAATCAAACACTAACCTTCTCTTTCTTTCTACTGGAACCAGTTGGGTGTTGGACATAGACTCCTTCTCCAGCCCAGGGACTAATGAGTCTCTCCACCCCCATGATGTTCCTCTTGGAAGTATTGACAGGTTCGCAAATAAGGCAGCTGGTATATCTTGGTGGTTGCAGTCCTATTATCAATTCTGGGGATTATCTGCCTCAACAAATTCAAAGGATTTGGCAACAAGGTAAAAGTGAGGAGAAATAGATGATGAGTTGCAGATACTAACAAAAATGTAAACAAATGGGCTGTTCACATCTCATTGTTTGCTACTCATGAGTAGTGAGACATGAAAATAGCACACACCTTGTGTGTAAAATCTGATGAGCAGACAGCAGCACGTGAGACGTTTTAATAATGTTCCTGTTTCTGGGAACTGGGAACCATTTCCATGACCATACCTGCTAGAAAGCATTGCAGTAACTGATGTAGAAATGACTGGCTTCTAGTAGATGCAGCCCAGATCACATTAGCCTATGTCTGTATAGTTATTTTCAAGAAAGAGTTAGTTGTACAGATCCTATATTGTTATAGTCTCCATTGGCATCTGTGAGGCACATTATATTTCAGCATATTATGAGTATGGAGACCCCTCACATTTTTTGAAAATTTCTTGGATAGCCCCATTTTTTAAAAAAAGGAACAACAACACTGGAAGATAACTGTTGTTTAGGCACATCAACACATCATATTATGTTTTACACATTTCCCTCTCTTCCTCCCACCCAGATGCTACACTTGATCTTTCAGTTTCATCTTTAAATCTTTTCTAACAGTGCTGTTGTTCTCCAGGGATGATGCAGCAATCATTTCTCTTCTATTTAAAGCATCTAAATGATCCAGTAATTGAAAAGCACTTACTGTTCCATATTGCTCCTGCTAGTTGTAATTTCCACACTCTGAGCTGTCTAGTAAAGGATAGAAAAATCATATGTTAAAATTACATTGAAGAGGAACAGCCTACATGAGCAAAGTAAACATTAACCTGCAGCAGCAGCTACTGTTAACAGAGCATATCTGCAAAACATACAGGAGGTAAGTGAGCTGAATAGTGAAGTCCAAAGTTATTTCAGCATCAGAGTTCATTACAATGAAAGGACTTCTCCTGCCCCACATTCTTGTGTGAGTTTATTCTGCTTGAGTTCCTTTCCCCCAAATCTCTTCTTAAGAGAATAAATTCTTGAACTAGAGCAGGTGAAGTTTGCCTGAGCCTCTATGTAGCGTTCACCCCACTCAGGAATATTTATGTTGAAATTTGCCTGCACCAATAGGAGTTGGTGGGGGCGGAGTTAAGTGAGGGGAAGAAAATGAGAGGGAGAGGGAGAGTAGGCAGTTGAGAGTGGAAAAATAAGGTTGTTTAGTTGAAAGTTAATGACATTGGCTAGACTGTTATCACCTGTAACAATAAACAATTTGTATTTGGTTCTTAAATGATTTGTTGTCTGGACCTTTGTCATTAATAGTGAACAATGTTCATGTAATCAACTCGTGGCAGCTGAATGACACGTAGCGTGCACCTTTTCTTGGTGAAACAACCAAGTATGTGGGAACATGACAAATTGTTGGTATAGTGGTCGGATCCAAAACAATCCAGCGTGAAATTGAATTTTCTTGAATCTAGAGGGAAAGGGGGTTAGGATCTGTGGCGTAAGAAGTGGTTACTCATTAGAGTCTCGTGGAAGACTTAGTTTTGGGGCTTCTGAACTCAGGTCTGGGGAATCCCAAGAAGAGGTCCTTTTGGCTTTTTGTGAAGGAAAAGAACCAGTCCAATTTAATAAGAAATTGTATTGTTTATGCTGCCCAAACAAAGTAAAATGAATGTGCCGCTGCTGAGTCGTCTTCAGCAGCGCGGCATACCTTTGCCAGCTTCCCTGGATGGATGCAAGACCATGTTGCTGTCTCGCGAGAGCAGCTCTGGAGGAGGGGGGAACAGCAAGATATATAAGGGGCCGTTCCCCCCTCATAAGTTTCTCTTTCTTGTTGGCATTGTACAAGGAGGGTTCACTATTTGGTCCACTGCTGGCATGCGATTAGCAGACCGGACCACATAGCTTTTCACTTTGGATTGGGAGGGTAGCATCGGCTCCCTCCCCCGGTTTGGTTTTACGTTTAGCAATTTAATTCTCATTTATATTGTTTGGATTGGTCATCTGATTTTAAGCTTTAATTTCATTGTGTAATTTGGGTTAAGTTGCTGGCCGCGGGAAAGAGTTGCGGGTGGCATACCGGCGCCTGTGCCGGCCTCGCAGCCACGCAAACAGCATTGATTAATTTTGTTTGAATAATTTAATAGATTGATTTAGTTGATTTTGTTAGTTGATTGTTTGGGGGATAGTGGTGTGATTTGGAGGATAACAAATTGAGAAAGAAGTGAGGAGAAGAATGAAAGAGTGGAGTGCTTATTTACAGCTGTCATGAGTGTGGGTTCAATTGGGCAGCTCCAGACACCTAGCAGCTTAGTTAATTAGCCCAGGGGACAAGCTCCTGACTAGGAGTTAATAAAATAAAGAGAGGAGAGGGGTAAAAAGGCAGTTGAATCACCAAGAAGTAACCTTTTAAAACAAAGAGGAGAGTGTGTAGAACACTAGGCTCCTTAGCTACTAGCGCAGGGGAATGAGGCTTCAGCTGTTACACTAATTAGCGTCCGTGCACCTTTTTTGCTTACCCCCTCCCATCACTTACCCTCTCCCCCTCCCTTCTTTCATTCTTACACTAGTGGCAGGCAGTGATCGGCTGCAGGTTTGAATTAAGAGCCAACATTTGGCTGTAGTTCATTCCTAAGGGAGGGGTTGGAGCATAATTGAGTGCACAGCGACATCTGGTGGAAATTCTGAATTGTGCAGAGTTTTCTGGTTTAATTCATAAGGGGACTTTAGTGGGATACTTAGGCAGTATCGGTACAGGCTGCAGTCTAAATAATTGAGTTGTGGAGTGATAGTTAATAGATTTTAGTATAGAGCAGGATATTTGGAAAATTAGTTATATATTTAATTGGGCATTTAATTGATAACAATTGCAGAGGTTAGGAAATGTAAGTGAATAAAGTCAACAGAAGCACTNAATAAATTAATTAATAAAATAAAATAAATGTAATAAAATAAATACATAAACAACAATAGTGGTACAATCAATAAATAGATAAACACATTGGCAGTAGTTTACATGCTACACCTGGACCATCATCAGTTTTGCCGGCCTGGCCCTGGCCCAGTAGTGGCCAATTTAACATACAGCCCTACCTGCCAAGTAATACACAGGAGACTGGGACGTTTAACACATCATGGCCTTACCTGAATGCCCAAATAGGTGGCTGACCTGCCCAATTCACACAGTCACCAATTCCAGCCCCGGTAACTCCAGCTGCTGGTGGGGGTGTGTGACATTACCCATCTGTTCCGGACATGGGATACAATACCATGCCTTTGCAAGCTCTCTGTGATGCCCCTTGGTGATCATTTGACATCAGCAACAAAGGAAAAGATATGTAAAGAAAAGTATGTAGACCTATTTGAGTTATTGAACAGAGAGGTCGAAAAGTGTCATTAGTGCAGCCAAAGATCCAGAACCTGAGGGGTTAACTGTAGCTGAGGAGAATGCTGAGCGATTAGAAACACAAACAGCTGAATTGCCTCCAGATTCTCCTCCCCCAGTAGATAGGCTGAGGGCTAGGCTTTGGGGAAGACTTATGACGAAAAGGTCAGAGTATTGCTTGAAGGCTGCCTGAAGAAACATCCAATCAACTAGCCCTAAGTTCTGACAGGATGAAAAGGCTTTCAGAAGTTCAAGGGCTGTTTTTACTATATAATCAGCTCTTAGATGGTTGGAAGTCCGTGGAAGCAACAAGTCAAATCTCTGGCTTGCATCCATGCTCCTGACTACCTTGAATCTTGTTCTCTGGACCCTTGACTTTGTTGTGTGTCTTGGCTTTGGAATCTGATCCTGGACTATGTTGTGTGAGTTGGCTTTGGTATTTGGATATCGGCTCTGCATAATTTCTGACATAGGATTGGCTTATCTGACTCTGCTGTTCTAACCCCTGGGAACATGACAAAAAGAAAGAATTAGACAAGGAGGATGAGAAAGAAAAGGAGAGGCGTAGGCGTAAGAGGCTGGACAGAATGTGGGCCAACTGGTTACCTGGCTTCTTAATCTACACGGGAGTGGTAGTAAAGGCTCAGCCTTGGAGGGTAGCAGCCCTTTTCTAGTATCTGGATCTGATTTATCAGGCCTATGTTGATTTTGCAGGGCAGGCATGGCTTATGATAAAGCTTTTTGTATGAGAAGTGCCATCCACCCCAATTTGAGATGGGATGAGCCATTCGATGGTCTCTGGTTGCAGCTCATACCTCTGGCCAGGCCCAATTTAGATGATAGGACCAATAGTGGTCACTTAATTAGGAAAACAGCAGTGAATGTGGCTTCCGATGGTAACATGGGGCAGGTGGTTCAACCCTGCCTGGTGTGTTGGGAATACAATTCAAAGGAAGTGTGCACTAAAAACAGTGTAGTGAAACATTAGGAAGAACAGCCTTCAGAACACGGCCAAAGAGCCTGAAAAACCCACAACAACCAATAAAATTATCCTTATGAACAGTTTAGTGTGATTGTGATATATTCAGTCCAATCTGTGTTAAGACGCATTATTGCTGAAGTTCAAAGATCCCTTACATGTGAGTCTCTGAGTATGTGTGTGTTCATGCATGTGATCTGAGAGTGTACTTAGTACCACTGGTTGGCCTGTGATTACGCTCTCAAAAGGGAATGCTGAGGCTTTAATTTGCATATTAGATTAAAGAGGAGGTTTAAAATAACACCTCTATAGTTAAAACAAGAATGGATTCACTAACATGCAGAGATAAATTTAGAGATTAACTATGTCGGTTAACCTTTTAATATATGGATGTTTCTTGGGACCCTATCTTGGATGAAGAAGATCTTATCCCAGCTGCATATCTGGAATGCTCCAACTACCTTAGAAACATTTGGTGACTATCTGTTCTCAATAACATTATGTAGGGTTGGCCACTGGTTCCTTCTTACATGGCACAGGAAAACATCTTCAAGAAAGTTGTAAGGGTGAGCCAAAATTGAGGAAGTTCTTTTTATAGGACATTGTTGACACTGAAATATTTAGGGAAGAAATTACTCTTCCTGTTCAAAGGCACAATTACACACTTCTGTTTCAAACAGCAGCTCATAATTTCCCCATTTTCAGGTGAGTGAGAAAGGAAGATGTAACATACCTGCAAGGTGGTACTTCCCTTGAGGACTGAGGTATCAAAATGAAAGGCAGTGCACAATGCTTACGACTTCTGAAAGTATTTTCAATGCACATGTATTTGATATGTTGCAGTTTTCAAATCTAGTTTCCAATATGGCCATTCTCTTGTTCAAATCTCACACTGCAATCTCCTTAGGTGCGCTTGAGTAGCCCAGTTTAATAAAGCATTACTCACGATACCCTCTAGGAATTGGGTGGTTGCAGTGATATGCTTACTGATTTTGGCAGGATTAATATTTCAACATAATATCAAAGTGTAATGCCCAGAATCCTATTGGTATTTGCTTAAGGTTCACCTAACTTGACATAGTTAGTTGACAAGATGCCAGAGCACATCTTGGTCGTATAGTTGGGCACATGAGCAGGTATGCAACTGTCATGTGCTGTAGCACCTTATCAAGTAGCTGTCATTTGCTGTTGCCTCTTATATAAACTTTATGTGAACACCAATAAAATTCTGGCCAATATCATGTTACAATGTTAATCTCTGAATCTTACTTTTGCTGGGGCTTTTTTCTGTGAGGTTAAGTTTTCAATGATACTTACTTCTGATTAGACATGCATGTGATTGCAGTGGATCAGGATTGTGGTGTCAAAGAAAAGCAATTCTTTGAATAAGGAAATGAGAGCCTTTAGTATCATAGAAACTGATGGGGAGAAACAATCTTCTGAATAACATTTTCATCCATCATGTTTAGCATAAAGCAGAACCCTTAGCTTGATTAGTTTAATTAACTTCTGGCAGTGAGAAGCAACTGATTCTTTAGTAAACGACTCTTATAGCTCATATCTTGGTATAATTACCCTTTTTCTATTTTTGGTTGTGAAGAACTGATTGGTGAGTTCCAGTTCCAGAAATGTCACTTCTACTTAATCTCTAAATTTATCTCTGCATGTTAGTGAATCCATTCACCATTGTAGAAATAGTAATGATATAACTCAGCAAGGTATATTTTTCCATTTTACTTAATAGCTATATATTTATTTTGGCTGAAATTATATCCTTTGCTTCAACATAAAGACGTATTCAGTTTGTACTATACCTGGTTGCTGGAAGTAAACCATAATAATTAATCTCCTGATCAGAGATGGGGAATGTGGCTTTTTTTGGACTACCTCACCCTACAACCCAAAACTGTCATTACACCATCAAATTTTGACTCTGATATTTTGGGATTTGCTTTCCGTTCTGATCCAGTACAATCGCATACATGTCTGCTCAGGAGGAAGTACCACTAAGTTCACTGGATCTTGTTCCTAGCTACACAGATAGAGGATGGATTATAACCTAAGAAACAAAATTACACAGAAAAATGCTTTTTGACCTTACATCTTGCTGTTGATGTGTCAAAGAGAAGTTGGACAATGAATGTACTGCCCTCAACCAGTTCTATGCACTTCCAGGCAGAAGCAATGGGCAGCCAAACAGCTACTTGCTGCATAGTTCTTGATGAAAATGTGTACTACAAATTTGGCTAGGTGATTGCCCTAAGTCAGAATTGACTTGACTTTACATCATCATCATCATCACTGCAATTTTTTAAAATGGTTTTGAAAACCAGGTCACAGTTGCCAGTAAATTATTGCTGCAATACTAATTGGGTTTCAGGAAGGTCTGCATAAGTCATCCTGGCTAATTGTGGCTAACTGACAATGTGCTGGGGCATATCTTAGTTATCCAGGTAAGCTCATGGCCATGCACGGTCCAGCAGCATTGAGTGCCTCTTAGTCTCCTGTGTCAGCTTTCTTTATGGTCCAGCTCTCACTTCCATATGTCACTACAGGAAAAACCATAGCTTTGACTATTTGGACTTTTGTTGGCAAGGTGATATCTCTGCTTTTTAAGATGCTGTCAAGGTTTGTCATTGCTTTCCTCCCAAGAAGCAGGCATCTTTTAATTTCGTGGCTGCTGTCTCCATCTGCAATGATCATGGAGCCCAAGAAAGTAAAATCTGTCACTGCCTCCAGATCTTCCCCACATTACTGGTCTATAAATATCTGTAGTCTAAGAAATACTATCTTAGGGGTGAGGTGAATGAAACTGACAAATGGATTGTGCTATTTTCCCTTCCCTAAGTCAGCCTTAGCCAGTATACCTGAGGTGTCCATGGATCTTAAGCTATGACTTATCCAGCAACAGATGATGTTCAGAATATATTCGACACTACAGCATCTTGTTTGGAAAGGTCTGAGCAACTCATAATAAGTGGTGGCACTGCAATTCTCCTGATGCATCTCTACAACATATCCTATGGACATATGTAGTCATCGGCTCATTTTGGGGGATAACTCATATAATTTTTTATTAAATCACCGTTCATTGATGCATATGTATTTTTAATTCATTTGCCTGCTTCTTGGAGATTGACTACTAGCCAATGTAAATGGACTCTCTGTGCTCTTGCAATTGCTGAAAGACTTATTTTGCAGCACTGGAAAGATAGATGCCCACTCTTTGTAACTCCATGGATAGAAAGTTACAATGTTACAATGTTATCAGCATAGGAATGTATGGCATATAGACGTCAATTGTGCATGGACATATTTTTAGATTCAATTCTTCAGAAAACCTTCAGTGAATGAACATGGGATAGTGAGTTTCTATATTCACAAATAAAAATGCCAGGAAACTGCCTGATATTGCTGCAAAATATAGTGCCCATGTTACGAGCAGGAAAAAGAATGCTAAGCTTTACATAACAAAGGGTAGCATGATTATTGACAAAAACAATGGCAGCAGTCGATGGTCATATTGCTGCAAAATATAGTGCCCATGTTAACGAGCAGGAAAAAGAATGCCAAGCTTTACATAACAAAGGGTAGCATAAATATTGACAAAAACAATGGCAGCAGTCAAGATGGTATACAGCTGTGCTCCCAACCATTTTTGTTTGAGTCGTGAACCCCTTTTATAATAGCTAAGTAACCTGCAACCCCCTGCCACATTGCACAAAATGGCCATCATCGTTGTTCCCAGACATGGCAGTGCCATCAACACTGCTGCTGCTCCCTCTCCCACTTCTCCTGAAACTGACTCCGCCACTATCACTTCAAAACTGGGGAGAGAACAAGTCCAGGGAGGTTAAAGGTAAGGAGAAAAGAAGGCAAA